ATAGAGACGAGGTCTTACCAAGTTGCCCAGGCTGGTCTCGAAACCCCAGGCTCAGGCAATCCTCTTGCCCCGGCCTCCTAAAAGTGCTGGGATTACAGGCTGAGCCACCGTGCCCGGCCAGAATTTTTTAAAATTAAAAATGTTAAGAAGTAACTAGATCTTAGGTTTCATATTGGAGACAAATTAAATGGCCTCTTCCATAAATCTGGAGAAATGTTGTCCTGGGTTTTGTGCTGATCAGACCATTGGTTAGAATCCCAGAGTCTGGCAAGAATATGAACCTTAACTCTGTACCCACTTTTTGCATCTAGTTTGAAATTCAGTTTCTATTTGGGGTGGGTTCAGGACATCTGTAAGCCACCTAGGAGTTTTTACTATATTCCTGAATAGAGTAGAGTATTCTGGTACCTGGTATTGGCAGTCGGGTACTGGGTAATTCACTGGAATCTTACTCAGACCAGATTCAGGGATCTTCAGATTCATCTCATAATCTATATTTAAATAGTTCTGTGGGTACCCCGTGAGGTCAAGGACATTGTTTGCCACAGTGCCTGAACCTTCTTGCCTGCAAAACACAGTTGATACATACTGATCAAATGAGTAAAGAAATGAATTCAGCAGAAGTTTTCAATATTAAGCATTTACTTCCGTGTGACTATGTTTGACCTCCAAGTAGCCAGAATCCTACAGTTTTTTTTCCTCCTAATTTGTTCTTGCTTCATTTTTTGTTTGTGTGTGCCTTTTTTAGACCATTCTGAAGTTTGTTTTTTGTTTTTTTACAAAACAGCTTTATTGAGCTATAACTTACCATAAAGGTCACCCTTTCAAAGTGGGCAATGCAGTGGTTTTTAGTATATTCACAGAGCTGTGTGGTTGTCCTTATGGTGTTGCTGGTGCAGGAAACATGGAACACCAGACGGAGCTTGTTGCCAGAAAGATCCTTGTGTCCACCGTGCACGAGGTATGTGATCTTTAGTGAATTTCTTAGTCTTGTCATTTTTTCCCCAGCTGTAGAATGGTATGTTGCTCATAAGGTTGCGTGAGAATTAAACCAAGCATTGTAAATCAAGCATGGAATAGACACTCAGCAAACCGTCTTCCCCTCCTCTGCTCCAGGACCTCCATGCCTTTCGGCTGCTAGTAACACGGGGAGGTGAGCAGGGATGGGGGTGGCTCTGATCTGTGATATTCCTGAAGCACCTTTCCCCTCTTTAGAAGCAGAAAGAAAGGTCCTAATGGAATGGTGCATCTCACCTGACAACCTGTCCATCAGCCTCAGGGTATTACCAGCTTTGGACAAGGCATCACCACAGATGCCCAATTTTCCACCAATCAGCTGTCCTCCTTATTTATTTATTTTTCACAGTCTCACCTCAGTGGGTTTGACTTGTTTCTAAGAATCCCCTCCTCATCCTCACCACACCCACTTGGACTTCAGTACATCATGGTCTTTTTTTTTCAGTGATTTCTTCCCCCAGTGTAGCCCTTTCTGGAAGGATCTCAACTCTGCACATTTTTGATTTGTAGTCATAGAATATTAATGCTGGAAAAAACCCTAGAGATCCAGTGAAACAAAAAAAAATTTATTATTATTTTTTTAATCGGAGTCTCACTCCATCACCCAGACTGGAGTGCAGTGGCCGCTCCCGGCCACCGCAGCCTCGACCTGCTGGGCTCCGGCGATCCTTCCACCTCAGCCTTCCAAGTAGCTGGAACTACAGGCGCGCGCTACTACACCTGGCTAATTTTTTTTGATTTAGTGTAGTGATGAGGTCTTGCCAAGTTGCCCAGGCGGGTCTCGAACCCACAGGCTCAGGCAATTCACTCACCTCAGCCTCCCAAGGCGCAAAAAAAATTTTTTTAACAGATAGAGACACTGAAGCCCACCGATGTGAGGGAATTTGACTACATCTTTAGTTGATAGCAGGTCTAGACTAGCACACGGGTGGCATTTCATACAAATCAGTGGAGTAAAGGAATGCCTTTGGGACGCTGTCCTGCCTCCGTGGCTTGGGGGACCAGATTGAAATCTGAGGGGTTGAGTGCATGTTTTCACCCTACACTCGATTCCTCTTCGTCCATAACATGAGGAGAAACCTACAGTCGTTAGTGTTCGCTCTCAAGTAGTGAGATCAGAAGCCTTGCGACGTGTAGCGTGCTCCGTGGTTGTAATATTTATGTAGTCGATCTTGTTTGGAGAAAGTGGAAATAACTCCTATCCTGATGAGAATCTGCACATTTGGTCTGAATCTCGTAATTCATTTGGGTTTCCCGTTTCTGAGTGGAGAGAGCTGACATTTTCCAGGCAGCTCTGGTTTGGGAGGGATTTAGACCCAAGGGATTTGCAGAGAATGTGTTCCCTGCAAGTTACCCTGTGGCTAATGGATGGTATGGTTAGTAAAGGTTTTGTACGAAGACCCAGAGCATGGTAGATGGAGAGGGTTGGGGGGGGGGGGGGGGGGGGGAGAAGA